TGGCGGGAGGGTTTGAGCTGGCGGACCTATTCCCATCATTCAAGCTGCTGCACGTGCTGTGCTGGAACAAGTACAAGCTGCTGAGCATGAGAAGGGAGGTCGACCAGATTCTGGACTGGTTCCTAGACGAGCACAGGCGGCAGAAGAGTGGGGAGTTTGGTGGGGAGGATATTGTGGATGTGTTGCTCAGGATGCAGAGGAATGAGGAGCTCCAGTTCCCGATTACCGACGACAATATTAAAGCCATCATATTTGTAAGTGTATCCATGCCACATTGATTCTCTTGTGTTTTAGTTGGTGTCATAATCATCATCATTGAGATTGATTGATATAAAAAAAAAAAAACAGGACATGTTCTCTGCGGGAACCGATACATCGTCCACCACCATTGACTGGGCCATGGCTGAACTGATGAGAAACCCACGAGTGATGGCCAAAGTGCAGGCCGAGATACGAGAGGCTTTCACAGGAAAGATGACTATCCAAGAAACCGACGTTCAAGCTCTCATATACCTCAAACTAGTGATCAAGGAGACTTTAAGACTGCACCCTCCGACCCCACTGCTCCCCCGAGCATGCAGAGACGACTGCAAGGTTGACGGCTACACCATCCCGCTCAGGTCCAAGATCATCGTCAACACATGGGCCATGGGCCGGGATCCCGAGTACTGGGCTGAGCCCGATAGCTTCATGCCCGAGAGATTCGAAAACAGTTCGGTGGATTTCCTTGGGAATAACTTCGAGTTCATCCCTTTCGGGGCGGGTCGGAGGATTTGCCCTGGGATGAACTTCGGGCTGGCAAATGTAGAACTGCCGTTGGCTCAGCTTTTGTACCATTTTGACTGGAGGATGCCTGAGGGTATGAGGGCCCATGAGATAGACATGACCGAATCTGGGGGGCTTACCGTCGCCAGAAAGAATGGCCTGTTTTTGGTTCCCACAGTTCCCAATTAATTTACAATCTTCATTGTTCGTGATGTATTGTGACTATTCTCTTTCATTTATTGCACTATTTATTTCAAATATGGCCGTAATTAGGAAAATGCGTCGGATATTCGCACATCGACACTCAGCTTGCTCCTCTTCTTGGATGAGTTATAGGTAGGTTCTCCTTTAATCTTTCGTTTCTTAGCTATTTACTTAATTCGTTGCTGTCTTTGTCTTCACAGCTCGAGTGTTCTTCAATTTCATTCCCTTCGCTTTGAATTTCGTCCTCGAAATCCCAATTCGGCGTTGCCCCGTTTTCTGACATATTCTGTTTCTTTCCTTTAAGACGTCGCCGTGAATTTCTTTGGAGAATGTCGCCAGCATCGGACTGAAAATCATCGGACTCGGTGTGGAATCGGCCTTTTGACTCCATTCTTGCCGGTTGACTTCCGATTGCCGGTTTTGGATTTCATTTTCTTGTCGAATTGCAATTTTTTTAGAATGGGGGTATGTTTACTGTTTGCTATCAAATTTTTGAGACGGGAACTCGATCTCCGATGAAGAGAAACTCCGTCGCGGATTGACGGAATTTAGCTTATCTACCTAGTTAGACTTATGGTTTGACAAACATTACATGCCAAAACATAATATCATGCAATAATTAAGAGATAAATTATAGCAGAATTTAGAGCTTTCAACTTTTCATTGCACATATTGGATCATCATTAGTCCTCTCACACATTATCTTTATATTTATTTAAAGGAAACAACTTAAAAACCAGATATGTATGGATATATATTGATCTCCCATCCATTCTGAGTCTCAAAACAAGACTCTTACATCCCAAATATACATATTCCACTGGAAAAGTAAATCACACTCCTCTCACTACATATACCATCACAACTTATTTTCATAGAACCAAGTATGTTTTAATAGCAGCAGCAAGCAAACTCCAATAGTTGAGAAGAAAAACAAAAAACAATCTCAGTATACCACACCACAACTTTCTTTCACAACCTTCACACGAGCCGAGCCGAGCCGAGCCGAGCCTAGTGTGGTTTACGTACGCTCAATAGCCTCACGTCGTCCACCACGGGCCCACACAGGGACGCAAAGTCGTCGCTCCTCGTGTGGTAGTAGGTGCTGAAGAACATGATCCGGGTCCGATTCGTGGGGGCCACAAACCGCAGCACGGCCCTCTTGTACCCGCCATTGCCCTTAGACTCGTACGGGACCTTAACCGTGTCACGGCCCGCGAACGCCTCCACAACCATCGACCCCTCGCACGAGTTGCTGGCATCCCCGACCGCAAACGTGAGCAGATGGACCCGGCCCGCGACCGTCCGGGCCACCTGGGCCACCGCGCTCTCCCTTCCCCCGACAAGCTCGATGGCCCGCAGTCCGTGGGGGACCGAGAAGTGTGCTGAGTCGATGTACTTCACGGCCTTGAGGGACTCGACCATCCAGGCTGGCAGGGGCGAGTTGTCGTCCTCGATGTTTGGGGGGATGAGGACGCCCCAGCTCGTGTTTGGGAATATGTACGCCCCTTCTTCAAAGTCCCCGTTTTTCAAAAGGTTGTCTGCATTGCGTGTACAACTAAATTGTGTTCAACCAATGTCGTTCAGTGAATTCGATCGCGTACATGTATTACTAAGAGAAGCCATATATATATATATGTGAAGCACTTGCTTCGACAGAGTTGATCTATACACATCCTCAAAGATGAGGCAATGAGTAATCAGAAATGCAATACAAAGATCAAAACTTACACAAATCAGTATAAGTTGAAACTTTTATCACAAGCAAAGAACAGAACAACAATTGTTTTAGTGAATTTTACAGTCCTCAACTCTTATGTGCAGTGCTACTATGTTATTTACTAGAACTTCAGACACACAAATCTGTTGGTACTAATGTGAACTACAGCAACTACAACTACACCTCAGCAATATCAAGATTCTCAAGTAAGTCATACTAACTAGCTAGGCACCAAAGTTAATTCCGACATCCGTATTCGCATTATGCTCGACGAAAACAACATACCACATGCTCCATGCCAAGTAGTTGGCTATTCATGACAAAAGTTTTGCCAGACTACAAATGACACGGTGACCAGAGAAAAAGCAAAGTGGTCCAACCTCAAATACCAAATTCATGCCGACAAAATCTATCATGTCTCAAGTATTTACCACTACGAAACCACTTCAGATTCATCAACAGCATTAGAAAAAATTAAACTCACCTCTCGTGGGCTTCGGCGGATACAAGGCCCGAATAGCAACCGAATCAATGAGCGGGCCGCACGCCGGGTCCTCCTCCACGCCCGGATTGTGAATTAAAATCTCAACAACATCATAGCTGGCTCGAAAAGCCCAAGCATACGAGTCCCAGCCGCTGCTGCTGTACAGCGTCTGGATCGGGAGCACCCCAAAATCAGGGGCCACGGACACGTTCACCCTCTCCTCTTGGGCGCAAGTTCGGGCCGCACTAAAGGTTAACGAGTAGTACATTCCCTTGGTCACTTTTACGTACTGCTTGATCGACGCCTCATTTCCGAGCCTAACGGCCGCGTACCCCTCGGGGACCACCAATAGCATGTCACCTTGCTTCTGGCCAGCTTTGATGTACTCGACAAAGCCCGACGTGTGCCAACTGGGTATGGCATTGGGCCTGAGAAGGATGGTCTTGTTGAGGTCGGAGGATTTCGGGCCCAGCTCGAAGTTACCATTGTCCAATAGTCCTGCATTTGTTGTGAGAGATCTTATTATAGACATACTTCATTATGGTTAGTACACACAAAAAGCACTTCCCTGCAATATCCATAGTTCTGTTCAAATCTCTCAGCACATTGTAGTATCCAATGCACATTTCACTATCCTAAATTTAAGGATAATAATTTCTACCTAATCAAGAATCTAGCATAAAGTTTCAATATTATAATATCAATGTAGCTTTAATGATTCTGTTGCATTTAACATGTCATTTATTCTATACAAAGCCAAAGCTTTGTGCCTCAATCTCAGTCGTTTTAGCATGGAAAGATCACATTTTGAAAAGCGTATAAAAGAAAAAGGGAAATGCTACCCTCCCATTACGGGATCCTTCCGTTGTACATTATTAGATTAGATGTATATCTACGGCTACAAAAGACAACCGAACCATCCCGTAATGGGATGGTAGCATTCTCCGAAAAGAAAAGAACACAAGAGTTAATAACATACAATTAAAAACACACACAAACACAGTTTGAGGCTTTGAGCTTACCATCTCTGAAGCCAAAAGCAAGGTGGCAACTGGCAAAACACAAGAACAGCCAAAGCACACTGAAAACCCCAATTCTTGAATGACCAGTATACATTGTTCTTGGTGCAGAGAAATTATTCAAGAACAGAGTACAATTAATGGGTTTTTTTTTTTTT